TCAACCCATGTGCAGATCCGGGGGCCACACGCCCTACCCCGCCATGCTGTCCCGGGGTGTGCACAGCAGTGGGACCCGCTCCCCTGCCGCACCGCCCCCCCGGACGAGCTGCTTGTGGTTCCATCCTGCACCCCATACTGCCCTGGCTGAGCAGCACCTGCTTCTACCCCACTCCCTCCCTCACTGCAGGGGCCTTGATCTACTCCCTCCACCCCCCACCTGGGACTGCTCCCTCTGGCCCAAGGTGCTGCAGAGGGGTTGGCTGGGGCATAAGGGTGCATCAGTATGGGGCTAGCTGGCAGGCACTCCGTGCACTGATTCACCCTTATGTCCCAGCCAGCTGGGTAGTGTCTACATGTGTGCTGCTGCAGAGTTTTTTACTCCAAAGCAGGATAGCACTTGCATCTATAAGTACTATCCTGCTGCAGAGTAAATTAGTTCATTCCAGCCTAAGAGGGGCACAGATGTAGATGCGAAGACATGTACTGAACAGCTGATTAGTCAACTGTGCAGTAAATGTCTCGTGTAAATGTGCCCCAAATATATAGGTTTAATATGGAACTATGTTTCCACTTCCCTTATCCAGATGACTCCTGAAACAAATATTTGTTGTTATTTTAGAATGTTTTAAAGTTACAATTAGTTTTTTTCCTTTCTGTTTCAGTAGTGGAGAAGGAAAACTTCCAACATGTGTTGCAACAGGAAGACCTATCACAGAGTATCAGTTCTGGATGTGCAATGTGTGCAAGCATTGTGTACAAGCCCAAGAAATAAGCAATTATAACTTTTGTCCTCTATGCCATAGCCCAGTAGCTTAGTAAGAAAAACAAAGGTATGTGTATGTTTGTTGTGTCTCAGACTGATAAACATAAGAGCATACTTTGAAATGTAATGATTCTGTTGTTGCTTGTTTAATGTAATTCAGGTAGTATGCTGTTACAGTATACTACTGTTATTAGCAGAGAAAAATCTCGAGAAAGAAGTGCAAGAGAACAAAGAAGGTGCAGTCTGTCATAAGAAAAAGATTTGTTAAGTGACATTTGTATGAAGTGGTTGAGGCTAAGAGCCTTTTTTCTTATTGTAAACTGGACCTAAATTTACAAACAGATATTCAACATCCACCTTTCTCAGGCTGTTTACATTGTCACCAATGTAGTATTAAGCAGCAGTAGTTATTAATTTTTCCCAAATATATAGGTCAACCCTTGAAGAAGAAAAATGGAAATGAGTCTGTTGAGGAAGACACACTAATTATGTAAATTTTGTTCCTCTAATTGAATGGTGGGGGCCTATTCAAATGTTGGCCGTAAGCTTAAAGCCCAGCTCTAGCTGACTGAATATTAGTTAGTAACCAAGAAACCATAGACTCAAGTGAATGATTCAACAACTAGACTATTTTATAATCCAAGAGAGGAAATACAAAACAACAGGTAAGCAGTATAAAGAACAGTAACAAGTTTATACAGTACTACACACGCAAACTAGAGATCAAAGTACAGCTTTTCTCAGACTTGCAACAACCTAGTGGTCACAGGCACAGAACAGCTTAATATTCTGATCTAGGCTACAACACAAGACACGCACAGCCCTTAGCAGCTTACATACACAATACAGCAGCAGTTCCAAGTGATCACAATATACGCAGAGAGGACTCGAGGAAAGAGGGGATATTGGCTGCCCCGGCCCTCACCAGCTGCCCCAGCTCTCACCCACTCTCATCACACCCACCTCTCACTCACTCTCACAATCAGCCCTATTTCATCCTTTTGATCACTCCACTTCTGTCAATCTGCCATTCACCCTGTCACTCAGATAGGATGGGTGTCAGTCACACGCCAGTCGCTCCACTGACCAATCCGGGGGTCAGTTATCTCAGGTAGGTGCTTGGTACCATACCCAACAGTGGTAGCATTTTCCCACCACAAGTTGCATAGGGCTGACTGCACATGTCCATATACTCACAAGTCGGTCACTGAGCCTTCGGGGTCATAAGTTCAATCAACACTCAACCCAAGAGTTCTGCAACTCTTCGTCCAACAAGGTCCACTATTAAACAGCACCCACTGCAACCCTCATCATTGTTCTTTACGTTTGTGGTATTTTTCTACTATAACGAACATACTAGTAGATGTACTTAAAACGGATAATTGATGCTGTATTCTTTTGTTGAATATATTCACAAGCACAGTACAAAGGAGCCAAACAAGCTCATCAGCAAAGAAGCTGCAGTTTGGAATCTGCAGCTTGAGTTCTCCCCATCTCTTTCAGATATGTCACCCTTAGGTAATGAGGTTGAATCAATTAATGTTAGTAATAAAAGAAAAACATTAGTGAACTACATGTTACAAGCTAATTGCCTTTTTTCCTTGTGGGCAGATATGTCTGTATCACGCTGTCATAACTGTCTTCCTTGTGTACTGGTATAAGTGGAGAGAGCAGGGACGCGGAGACAGGGTAATTACAACATCCTTGGAGGTGATCTGTCCCCCTGTGCCGGTAGAACTGAGCTACAGCAACAGGACAGCCTGGGGAAGCCTGAGCGGCTGTTGTCCATGTTGTACAAGCTCTGTACAGAAAAAGAGCAAATCGGTTTTGTCAGGCTGGTATTTTTCAAAAGCACACTATGAACTTTTTTTCTTTCTTTTTTTAGAGAAATTATATGGGGTAGCTTGTTTTGTTTTAAGTTAACTGCAGGTATCCAGGCGTTAACTCTTGCTGCTTTTATTTCTTTCTGTATGGAAATGCTTTATCATATACATTTGTTAAATATATTGTATTGTTGTAATACATTTCTTAAATAAAACGTTTTTCTATGCAATGGTGTAGCCTTGATGGTCCAGCAAGTAGGCTACCGGCAAGCATTCCCTAAAGCAGCAACCTGCTGCCACGAAGCCGTTAGTATCCAGCCTTTGGGGGTCCCCCACCGATCAGGACACTTGCGGGCCGTCCTCCTTGCCCTGCCAAACTTCAAAGGCCGACCTCCGCGCAGCAGGTTGGGCCAGGTGGCGCCCTGCTCCCCGCGCACCGCAGGGCACTGCTCCGTGCCGGGCGCCGCTCAGCTGGCAGTCTCGCACCAGGTTTCAAACGCGAGCCGGTCTAGCGCCCGCACGCCCGCCTGACGCCGCCCCCGCCACGCGGCCGCGCCAATAAAAGGCAGCCCCTTCAAGGGTCTGCTGATTTCACTGTTTATGTAAGGCGTGGAGACGCCCCCGGCGCGCGGAGCATGCGCCGCACGCTCCTGACGCCCTGCGGGACGCGGAAGTCGAGCGGTGCCAGCTCGAGCGCCGGCGGCCAGTTGTTATGTGAACGTGACCCGTCCCCGCTCCGCCGGCATGGAGCAGGACCGCGGTCGCCGGCACCCCAAGCTGCTGTGGGCTGCGCATGCGCGTTTCCGGGAGCAGCTGTTCGAGGCAGCCGAGGCGCTGTACAGCCGCTTTATCGCGGACTGCGCATGCGCAGCCGGGGGCTCCTCCCGCTCCAGGTGAGTCGCGTGGACCCCGCCCCTCGCGTGTCCCTGGCGCTTGGAGCATGCGCAGAAGATCCTGTGGGGGGGGGGCGTCCGTGCGGGCAGTGCGCAGGCGCGGACTCTTTGGCCCCTCCCCCACTTCTTGAATGGAGCAGCTGTGGTTACTCCTGGCTCCTGGCAGCGCCTGGCCTGGGCCACGTGGTCCCCTGGGGTTGTCCTGCCTCGTGCCCCTGCTTACCCCGTGCCCCACAGACAGAGTCCTTAGGATTGGTGGCAAACGTGGGGATGGAAGAAACCCACCCACCAACCTGCCATCCTTTGGCTGTAACCCCCCCACAAAAGGGACAGGAGCGAGGGCCATAGGTTCAAAACGAGCGCGCCGAGGGGGAGTGCTGAGAGGAGCGCACCTCGTATTGCATCTGGCTTGTCCGAGTCGATACGACTTTGGGAAGTCCAGCGTAAGTGGCCTGTTCTGGGACGGCAAGTCGGGTGTTGTCACCCTCGTACCAACGGCCGATAACTTCTTTACATCTGTGAATTTCCACCGTAGTTTTGCGCCAGAATAATTTACAAATCTTTAGAAAGCGCTTAAAGAAGTTCTGGAGGTTTCCTCAAGCGAACAACACCCCTAAAGCCGAGGGTATGCCGTAGTTTAAGGACCTGAGAATAGTCCTCTTGGATATGTTTTGTAAGCGCATCGTGAATCCTAACGGAGCTCTCTCGCTCCCTTCTTCTCGTCTTAAGCGAATGTGCTGCTCGAGACCTTGCGACCGCATTTAATAACCGGGGACAGATCAAGTACTTAAGAGTTGACTTCTATGAGGCGATGGATGACTACACCTCAGCCATTCAAACACAACCAGACTTTGAAATTCCGTATTATAACAGAGGATTAATATTGTATAGGCTAGGTATGGAAAATGTTTTTATTCACTTTCATAACTTTGCTGTCTTCTGTGCTAATTGCAATGTGCTGCAAACTGAGTGGCTCTGAGGCTCCAGGATCAAGCCAGGGGAACCACTCCAGTGTGTAAAACTGGAGTGACACACAGGTCAGGCAGCCCTTCTGAATCACCGTTCGGAGTAATTTTGCTTCAAAAGAAAACGGGAACTGGCTTTTGCCGCTCCCCCGCAATATGTTTGTTTGTATAGTGCTTGCCTGACATCGGGATGTAGAGCAGAGTGACCCACCAAGTGAACGGTAGCTTTCCTTGGCATAAATTGATGTTGCATGAAACAGCAGTTTACAGTTTGTTTTGCTGTTTGGCTTTCCTTTTGGGTACACATGAGGGAGAGGAATAGGTCCTGAGTATTTCCATTGAATAGTTCACCCATCTGTTCCACTCCATTGATTTTGGTGAAGTTAGCTTTATTATTAAACCTATATGCACTGTCTAGCAAGAGTAAAACCTATTTAAGTATGGTTAAATGAGAGAAAGAGATGATGTAAGGCAAGGAGATACTAAATTGTTTTTCAGTCATTCTATTTGGCCATTGCTCACTGTGTAGTGTGGCAATTGCCTAGTAATTGTGTGAAAGGGAAGTGATGGTCATAAAGAAAATCAGTGGCAGAACGTGGATCTTAGTCCAAAAAAAAGCATCATCTTTGTTCCTGAAGCTGAACAGGGTGCAGTGGTCATTACGGCAGCATTTCCACTGACTTCCTTCACTGAGGTTTGGGGTGTGCTGTAAATCCTCACTGCACCTCTTGCTGCCAGGATTCTGCATGGACCAAAAGGAGAGTGATTTGGGAATAACCAGATTGTTTCAAATATAAAACACTCGTTAAAACAAATTATTTCTTCTGAAAATGGTTTGCACCTTAAAATCAAGTAAAAAAAAAAAAAAAAAAAGTCTATTGTATATCATAGAGGTTCAGTTAATTTAAATATGTCATTATTTAATTTGTTAAAGTTGAGAGCTAGAACATTTGGTTGCATCTTAAATTCAAAAACATCTATTCATAGGAATATGGTAATTGTATGTAGATTTTCGTCACAGGGGCAAAATGAGGTCAGAGCTCCCTGAGGCTTCATCATTTTATGTCTACCACAATACGTTTCTTAGTATCATGTGAACTGCATTTAATCTGCCATCAGTATATAAGTTCAAAGTAAGCCGTGATACATTATTTTTGTTCTGTTCAGTTTATACAGCAGCTGGCCAAATTCAGTAACTCCTAATGAATCTTTGTCATTGATATGAATTAATGTGCTTCTGTATTTTTTGTCTTCGATATCAGTAATAGAAAATAGTCATGCAAGATTCAGTTACATTTGTAACGGAATTACATTAGCAGATCCCTTATGCATTAATACAATACATCAGGGTTTAGGATCTGAGAATTGTAATATCATAGAAAATGAAGGTTGGAAGGGACCTCAGGAGGTCATCTAGTCCAGCCCCCTGCTCAAAACAGGACCATCCCCAGCTAGATCATCTCAGCCAAGGCTTTGTCTAGCCAGGTCTTAAAAACTTCCAAGGATGGAGAGTCCACCACCTCTCTGGGTAACTTGTTCCAGTGCTTTACTACCCTCCTGGCAAGAAAATTCTTCCTAATATCTAACTTAAATTTCCCTTGCTGCAACTTGAGACTATTGCTCCTTTTTCTGTCATCTGCTGTCACTGAGAACCGTCCAGCTCCATCCTCTTTGGAACCACCCTTCAGGTAGCTGGAAACTGCTATTAAATCCCCCCTCAGTCTTTTCTTCTCCAGACTAAATAAGCCAAGTTCCCCTACCCTCTCCTCAGAAGTCATGTGCCTCAGCCTCCTAGCTATTTTGTTACCCTCTGCTGGACTCTCCAATTTGTTTACATCCTTTCTGAAATGGAGGGGGGGCCCAAAACTGGACCCAGTACTGCAGCTGTGGCTTCACCAGTGCTGAATAGAGGGGAATAATCATTTCCCTTGATCTGCTGGCAACGCTCCTACTAATGCAGCCCAGTGTGCTGTTATCCTTCTTCACGAGGGTATGCTGCTGGTTCCTATTCAGTTTATTGTCCACTGTAACCCCTGGGTCCTTTTCTTCAGAGAAGGCTGACATCTACTGTGAAGTACTAAGCACCACAACTTTCACAGATTTCAATGGAAGTACAACATGATTATTAATGAGAGGATCAGAGCTTTGAATTTCAAATATATTCAATAGAAATGTTTAGTAAATCCACCAAGCAGTTATTTTTCAGTTTGAGTTTGTAAAATAGTTTTGCTATAGAAAAACAATAATCCACACCTTTCTCTTCTCTTTGAAACAGGGCACTTTGATGAGGCACTGAAAGATTTCAAGACGGTTTTAGATTTAAACCCTGGGTTTGAAGATGCCTCCTTGAGTCTAAAACAGACTATTCTTGACAAAGAGGAAAAACAAAAGAGAACTTATTAATTGATCAACTGAATACATAAAAATATTTTTCCTGACTCTTGGTTGTCTTCAGTTCATTTCAGTTGTTGAGGAAAGCGATACAAAATAATTTACGTGTGATTTGTCCTGCTCTGGTTTGTAAGTTCTTGATTGTCTTGGATAAATAATCAAAGTAGGTATCTCATAATTGCAGAATAAATTATTATTTTAAATCGTTATGTAATGTTGAACAAAAGGACAGCATTAAATCTGTCTAAGATGCTGGTCATTTTATGTTGAAATCTTTTATAACATATACAGGGCTACTGGAAGTTCAGTAACCACAACTAAAATCCTCGCTTTAAAGAGATATCTAGGTACTTTTGCAGATTTATTTAGACAGTCTTAAGTGCAGAAAATAATCAAAATATATGGTAGGTTTCAGTTCAGGTATTGAAACATGAAATAACAATTTATCTTAACAATAATGACACTCACAGCCTATATATACAGAAGAGTAGAAGTCAGACTGAAGGATATACGTACGTTTTTAGGGTATTCAACAATCTTAGCGCTTTTTTTGTACTTGAAAATTAATTTGAATTAACTCCTTACAGCAGTGTGTCTAATGCCCGGTTATATGGTTGGTGATGGATATTTTTTAAGAGTTTAGCCTTAGGTTTTTTACTTCACTAAAATTGTTTTATAGTCTATTAGAAGGTTGCCTGTTAATGTCAAATATACTGATTGCAAAACTAATGGATGAAAGTATAGAAACAAGTGTTTTATTTTTTATGACGGAATGAGTAGTAAGCAGATGCATGCTTTTAAATTTAGTATGATCTGCAAGAAGCCTCAAGATTTGACTTGCTTATGGTAATTATTGTGAGGTTTTTTTCTGTTTATTGAAAAAGTCAGTATATTAAATAAAAATCTGCATGATGACACATCTTTGTTAGTGCAAACTGTTGCAGTCTTTGTTAGTGATTTGCCTTGAGAAGTAGTGTTCAACTTTAGAATGCCATATGTGATCGTGCAGTTGTCTTATTCAACTTTATACCTATGGATAAGATTATTTTAATACTAATTTAACTTCATGCTCTGTGTTCCTTCATGGAGAACCTCCAAGCCTTTACAAACACAAGGCTACACCCTGGTCACTGAGACATACAATTGCAGTGAAGATCTCAAAGCTACTTGGGTAAGTAGAGGGACCCATGGACTACTTTATATTCTCTGTACAGTTAATGCTAGTAGTTCTGGTGTGAAGCATTGCAGTACTTTCAGTCAGCAAACTACTTTGCTCCTCCCCTTCTTGCTCAAAAACATTTGAATGTCCCCATAGTGCTATTGAATTTGGTGTTTGGGTGGAGAAAGAGGCACTGAGACTTCCAGAAACCTTAATTTTGTTCTTTGTCAGAAATACCAAGTATGTGCACTGACTAAAATTTTTATCTTATTACTGCCAGCTACTTCCAAGGCTATGTAATACACTAAAAGGTTGCATATTTTATAAATTGCCTAGTTTCAGAAGTAAGGAACTCAGTTACTAGTCTTTGGGCAGAATTAGATTTTCATCACCATGACACAGCTGATCTAGAAAAAGTGATCCATCCAGCTTAGGTGGGTGCTAAACAAGGGAGTTTCAGTTTTAGAGAAGAGTGGGTAGAGATCTGGCACTTGGAAACTGGCTGCAAAGGGATTGAAGGAGTGATCACAGATATAGCTTTCACCAAGCTATTATCACTTCCAAATGCCAATACATGAGCTTTATTTATTTTTTAAAGAAAAATGGGAAGAAACCTCCCATCATGTATATTTTGAAGAGCAAATAAATCAAGATTTTTAAAAATAATATATCCCCATTCTTTCATAGACATTTCATTTTATATTTTCTCCTATTCCGTGTTCTATATTGTACCTATCATGATAGCAGGATTGAATAATGAATATTTCACACCTGATTTATAGTGTCCATAATATGACACTAAATATAAATACAATCTGTATGTCTTTCTGAGAGAGAGAGAACTTTGTAACTTCCAGCATACTTTTTAATTCTTCAGGGCAGCTCTAGCCAAAAGGTATGTATTTTTGTAAGCTAGGCAGATCTCTTTGGCTTTCAGTCACAAACACCATCTGCTTTTCAGTCTAAAATCAATAAACAATGCTTTGTGGCATTCTCAACCACTGAGGCTTGTTGAAATTGTGTCAGAAAAGCATCATTACCCATGCTGGAAAACTGAAGTAAGGAGAGAGATATTGTAATGATCCTTTGGCTTGAAACAGTTGCTATTCATAAAGGATTATGAATCAGAAGCATAGCTGAATGTAGTAAAATTTTATTTATATTGTGTTTCCATATATAAGGCAGACAATCTCAACTTCGAAATGAGTGCACAGTGTATTCTTTGGACAGTAAGCCATACAGAGGGATATGGTAGTGTTGAGCTTACACCTTCACCAGACTTCAGATGGGTTCTCTGCCTGAAAATTATAAATGATTGTAGAATGTCTGAAATAATTCTGGCAGCCCTCTTCACAGCCTAAATGTTCCCCTTTCATGGTCATATGCTGCACCAATAAATCCAACAGGTGTCTGTTGCTAACATGCACAGATTGGCTGTCTGTCTTGGCAAGGAACATTTCAGACATGAATAATTCACGGACTCTTCCCCGTGGTTTCCTACCTATAAACCTACCACAAAAAAAAACAGTGCCTGTTTCCTTCTATGTAGTCCTTATGTTGGCCTATGTGCTTTTACTAGCAGACCCTCCATTTAGTCTATTCCCCAGGGCTGGGATTATCTCAACAATGGGTAACTATGTTCTCACCCAGTGGTTTGCTACCTATAAACTTAGAAAAGAGGTGCCCTTGCTACATTACATAATGTTTTATTTCTTCAGTTATCTGGCACAGCAGCCGTCTTTCTAAGCTCTTCCTTGATCAGAGACCTGGCAAAGAGGAACATTGCAGAGCTCCATAGTACCCTGCTTTTTTGTGCTTCCCAGAAAGAGTGAGACTAGTTGTAGGCCACACACATTCTATTGTATTCCAGGGACTATTCATTTTCAGAGAAAGTTAGAAAATGACATCCTTGCATAGCAAGCCAGGAACTGTCTGGGCACTGGGCAGAGTTTGAAATTTGCGAATCTAGTGAGAGGAGGAAAATTATTCTAGTGGGAGAACCTTGCTGTGTTAAAAAGAAAGAAAGATTAGTATTTCACCCATTTTTTTGCTGCCTTGGTACAGAATTTACCCTGTCAAATGCTGTTCTAAACTTGAACTATTATAGATTAAATATGTCCATTTTGATGGACTTTGGAATGGACATTGAAATCATTAGCCCTTACTGGGTGGTGAACTGTAGTAATTGTAGTTGCTGTGGTGGGTCTAGGGAATGTCAAGAAGCTGGATTTGTGGGGTGAGGTAATATCTTTTATTGCACCAACTTTACGATTGAAAGAGGTATTAGACAAGCTTTTGGGCACAAGATGCCCTTGCTATGTTCTGGGCACTATTATGGACACTCAGACTTCCTCAATGTACAACTGTGGTAAAGAAATGAAAAGCAAGACATTAGGAGGTATAAGGAACAATAATATTGTGCTAATTGAGGGTTAGGCCACTAAACTATTATATGCAGGGCTTCTCAATGTTCACTCCAAAACGGGTGAGTCAGAGATGGGCAACACTGATTGAAGTCTGAAGACTACCAGAGGTGTCTTGCCCCTCTGCTCAAGGTCACCCTGATTACCATATTTTGGGTCAGGAAGGAATTTTACCCCAATTGGTATAGACTATGTGTTTGTTTGTTTTTTGCCTTCCTCTGTAGTAGGGGGTGGGAGGGCATGGCCCTCTGCCTGGGATCTCTTGAGCATATATTGACAACTTTTTACAGAAGCAGGACACTGGCTGCTCTGGTTCCCCTGCTTTACTTGTGGCAGTTAGGGTGTTATGTCTTTTGTTGTGTCAGGGTTGATGGTACTTTACTAAGAGGTTAGATTATGTATTTGTATAGGGTGGTTTGGATAGGAATGATTTTTCAGGGGGTTGGACTACATGACCTCTGGAAGTCTCTTCCAGCCTTACTTCTCTGTGATTTCCATAGTTTCTATGATGGGTAGGTAGTCTTTGTGGAGGAGAGAGGATTCTACACCTCTCTACTCCCTCAGAAGCATTTCTGCAGGTCACTATTGGCAACTGGATGATATATAAGATGGACCCTTGCTCCACACAGTATTGCAATTCTGATATTTCTATAAACATTTTCCTTTTACCATATGCAGGCAGCCCCAGTCTATTAATGCTATTACCCAATAAGGATAATGCTTTTGTTGCAGCAGCTCTTCAGAGGAATGCAGCACGTCAACATTATCCAGGTCTTTTACTAGAGTGATGGGATGTGACAGTGAAGACCTAACCCTGACCTAGGCCAAGGTTCTCACCCCTAGTTTAAAAAGGAGAAAAACCCATCCACACAGTAAGCATGAATGGGAACCCTGTCTACGTTAATGGGACATGGGACATCTGTTTTGAACTCTTTATCCTCTGTCCCTGAACTTAATGTCTCCAAGGTTTTCCTGGCAATACCGTACGCTAGTACCTGCATAATCTTAGGCAAATCATTTAAGAAGGATCAGTTTCACCTCTACAAAATATGGAAAGGGCTACTTCTCATGAGAGTCCCTACTTTGCAATGGAAAAGGGCCCAGATACTAACATGATCTAAAGTTCAGTGTTTTGCTTCAGTGGTCTTGAAATTGGTTGTGGGAGACACCTTGGAGCATCCTCACTGCCATATTTTTGGGTCTGAAGCATGCCAAGAAGAAGCAGGTGATTACACTGCTACAACAGCAAGCAGGTGTTTTACAGGATTATGCATGTATGTTAATTTGTGTGCATTCAAATTGTACTTTTACATGACCCTGTCATCCAGCAGATTTCCAAGTGCATTTCAACATCGAGATCCTCATTTATCCCCTGGATTTAAACAACATGGGCTCCAAGAATTGTCTGAATCAGTGGTTTTCAGCCTGTGGTCTGCAGACCTCTGGGGGTCCCCAGATTACGTTTAAGGGGTCCGTGAAAGATGAGTGTAATCAATCAAAAGTATGTGAATACCAACACTTACAATTTCCAAAGGACTGCAACACCTCCATTCAAAATTTTTAGGGGTCCACAAAAGGAAAAAGGTTGAAAACCACTGGTCTAAATGTTTGTCAAGTTTGGCTCTCATAAATTCCACGAAAGATTCATTATGAGAACAAATTTGGGGATTTTGTTCGTGGCCAATTGAAGATGCATTTGGCACTATTCTGTTTTTCTTACCTTTTGATACCCTTGAAATTATATTCAGAAATGTCTGAGTCTTCTGAGTCCTAAAGAAGAGATAAATAACTATTATGAGAAGTAATGCATTGAAAAGAGAGTGTTGAAAAGCTACAAGCATCCAATAGAGTATAAAAGTGAAGGAAATATGTCACCTACTTGCAAGATTTGATCTCACCACCAATTTACCAGAGCCAAAAGGAGGAGATAGGCTCCTGGATGGGTCATTAACCATGGCAGTTTGTATCAGTGTCTCTTCAGCTGGATAGTAGCACAAGACTGTTAATCTAAGATAGGAAGACATTTTTTTGTAGATACTTTCCAAAAGCTATCACTGTATTACATAGGATCAAGAGAGGTAGTTAACTATGTTATCTGAAGTTAGGCAGGAGGCAGGGCAGGCTGGTGCCTTTTAAACTACCTTGTTCAGAAAGGCATGAGCTTTCATAGCATTTGAAGAAGCAGGCTGTAGCTTATGAGCTTTCACAAGGTACAGCTTCTTCAGATGCTATGAGTGGCCATGTGGAAAACGGGGTACTAAATAAAGGAATGAATTCATTTAAATAAAGGTAGAGGAAGGGGAGGAAAGGATGGGGGAGAGCGACTGCTGAGAGAGGCGAAGGT